TAAAAGATCACATATGTCTTTCTTTTCTTTGAGTATGTCGAGTAGGACCAACTTCACTGTACCAAGCTTTTGCTTTAAGTCTTACGGTAGGACCTATGGAGAGGGATCTAGCTACTTGGAATTTGGTTACTTTTCCCTTAGTGTGGCTCTGAAGGGTCCTTTCGCTCAGTGAGGAAGAAGACGATGCTGCACCAATGATGTATAGACCGGACCGGATCGACTAGTTTGAACAAAAAACTGGAGAATAGGTCTCAGGTTTGGTTCAACCTACTAGATGGTTCATTGAATGGGCACTCGACTGGGGCAATCCATTCCCATGTTTGAAGTGGTGGACTGGTCGGTCCACTGGTCTGATGGCCAACCAGCTGGTATAATGCCTTTATATAATTTACCCAGTGTTGTTGGACTCGGCTGAGGTGACTTGGACTCGTCCGAGTTACTCAGCCTCGGTCTATGGGTGCAGCTGATTACCATGTACCAATTTTGTTTATATATTGTTATTCGCAGCCAAATTAACATTGTCTCGAAATTCCTTGTTGGCCAGTGGGTAAGTATGTTGATGCTACCTCAAGTCCGTGGTTCACAGTCTTTTAGGCATGTTTTTTTTTTAATAACTCTTAGTGACGATCTCCTTTTTTTAATTTAAAAATCGTCTTTACATTAAGCTAAAGATAAGAAATTGTTTTGGTCATTAATACTCACTTTTATACTTTTTCATATTTTTTGAAAATTTTTAAGAATAACCTATTCTAATACATTTTTTAATATTATTTACATTATAGTCCTAGGGACGATCTCCTTTTTTTTTATTAAAAAATCGACATCTTTTATTTTATTAAAAAAAATCAAATTTCAATATATTTTTTAATATTCTTTACATTATGGTAAAGATTAGAAATTGTTTTGATGATTAATACTCACTTTATATTTTCTCATATTTTTTGGAAAATTTTAAAAATACCCTATTCCAATATTTTTTTTAATATTATTTACATTATAGTAAAGATTAAGGGCAATGATTTCATGCAACCGTTTCGTAATATAATACAACAACCTTAAAAAACCATCTTATGGCCATTTGTTTTATCCAAAATTTGAAATATACACTCTTTTCATTCTAATGAACAATCACAAAAAAGGAAAATTTGAAAAAACTATCGAGAAAGTATCTTTTAGCCCAATTAACATAGGCTGTTCATTTTCGTGACATGCTTAGATCTAGGCCTTAGAAGGATTTTTTCATTTTCAATTTTCTTGGATGGATTTATTATCATTAGATGAACAATATTAAAACAGAAAAAAATGATTTTGAGTTTATAAAGACCAAGATATTGAAATTCACAAAATGAATGGTCTAGATTCGTTTTTGAAGGAGACTCATTTTGATCATATCTAGGGTTCAAATTGAACAATTTTTTTTTTTTGGGATTGATTTATTGAGATGTAGAGAGTGTATGTGTAAAATTTGAGGCCATACAAATCCCACAAACATGGTTTTCTAAAAGTGTCATTGCATTATACTATGATACAACTGTTGCATTAGATCATTGCTCAAAGATTAATGGGGAATATATGCAATGGTTGTATAGTAATATAATCCAACCATTTTAAAAAACCATGTTAAAGACATTTGTTTGACACGAATTTTTAAATGCACACTCTTTTCATTCTAAAGAACAATCACAAAAAATAAAATTTTGAAAAAATATCCTAAAAAGTATTTTTCTAGCCCAATTAATATAAGCCATCAATTTAGTGAGATGGTTAGATATAGGCCTAAGAAAGGTTTTTTCTTATTCCCAAAATTTTTATGTAGCGTTATCATCATTAGATTAACAATGCTAAAAAAGAAAAAGTGATTTTGAATTTGTTAAGGCCTAGATCTTGAAATTCACCAAATGTATGGTTGAGATTCATCGTTAGAGGGTACTAATTTTGATAATATCTAGGGAGCAACTTGAATTTGTTTTTCATAGGATTGATTACGAGGATGAAGAAAATGTGTATGCAAAACTTGGGGTCATACAAATGCCAAAACACATGGTTTTCTTGAGGTGTGGTTGCATTATACGACTATACAACCTTTGCATGAAATCATTTCCCATTAGAAATTATTTTGGTCATTAATGCTCACTTTTATATTTTTTCATATTTTTCGAAAAATTTTAAAAATACCCTTAGGCACATTTAAATTCTATCTTTTTCATTAATTTTCAACTTTATTTGAATGTGTTTTGTTTTAATCATTCTTTATATGTTTTTTGTATTTTAGTAGATTTTTTTTTGTATTTTTTATTTTTACAATAATTTTTTGAACACCCCGTGACTTGCGCGGTTAGAACAGTTGAATCACCCCATTTATTGGTTAGGCCGATTAAACTTCTGACCTCATGTCTAATTAACCGTTTCGGTTCGATTTTGCGAACATTGAGCCAACCTTAACTTTCATGGCGTAGCTACAGCAAAAGGCCTCCGGCTCCCTGTTTGGAGACAGGGGTCGTGCAGCAGACAGCGGCAAAAACAAACACTAAACTAAGTCCGACAGTGCGATTAGTCCACGGTAGGACATCTGCAGCGGGGGAAGGGAGGACCAGACATACCTTTGAATGAGGTTCTCTAATCTCTACTGAAGCCTCATCGTTTTAAGGGCTATTTTCAAGCAATTTTTTATAGCGAATCCGGCCATCAATCTGCCATTCAAACCTAAATACTATATAAATGTTCATCCAATGTTTTGCTTGTTGCTTTGTTTTTTGGAAAAAAATTGGACTTTTTGTGGGTTTTTGTAAGAATCTTGTGATGAGCATTTAATGTCGAGATTGACGAGATTTCAATCTGAATCTAATGTCCATTAAATAGGGGTGCTTTTTCAAGACAAAATTGTTTTTTTTGTGGGTTCTAGGAGATTTAATGTAATTTCTTAGGCCCGGAATTTCTCTTTTTCTTGGTAGGGGTTCCTCAACTACTTTAGTGTTGTTTGCTTTATTTTTATCTCCCATTTCTTTAACTTTTATGGATTTTTGTTCTCTCTTTGTATTTCGACAGTAGTAGTAGTTGCCAAAAAAATTCCCCTGTACCTGGAGGACAACCAAAGAAGAGTCTTTACTTTGTAAGGAAAGATGTTTGAGCCACTGCTCTTGGAATTTTTTTGAATTGTTTCTTGCCGTTCATTTTTTTTTTTTAAGTTTTTAATGCAAAAAGTTGAAGGCACTAACTTCATATCAAAGAAGTAAGGTGCATCTCAAAAATCTATAGGAAAAAGTTGTTCTGATGCTAAAAAACCTTGTTATTTATCATCTCAACTTTAAAATGTTCAGATATTGAAAAAAAAAGCGCATTGCAAGTCCTAAACATAATACATTTTGTTTTATAGTATTTGGACCATCTATTTTCATGAAATTTAAGTGTATAGATCTACTTGATCTGAAATCCTTTCTAGAACTTTAAATTTTACTGTTATAGGTACAAATAGATTCTTATGCTATTACAAGACTTTTAGGCATAGAAACTACCTCTTTCGATATAATTTAGACTTTGATTTTTAAAGGTTGGGGTCTCACCCTTTTTTAATCATTTACTATCTCTATATTTATAAGTTTCCTGGACCAGTCCATCTAGTGAACCGGTCCAATTCGGCTGCTCTAATTGGATCAATGCTCACCCTGATTCATTCACTGGTCTGGTCTTGACGACATTAGCATCAGCCCCCAATTGTGACACTAGTGGCAATTGTTGCCCATGTTCTTCCCAGGTGGGTTGTCTACTGGTGTGCTCCTTACTTTTTGCTTGCAGAAATGGTGTGGACCATGATATGGTCCGTAACCTCCATTTGTAGCCTGCCATTCAAATCTGCACTTGAACAGTGCCGAGCCCGCGGCTGCACCTGCTGCAGTATGCTGTAGCCCGATAACAACTTTTTTGATACAATTTATATAAGGCTTAGGCCTTATGACAACAAAATAAAGCCTCACCTCGAGGTTCATAAAGCACTTTGCACATAGAAAATCTTTTTACTCTAAAATCAATAAATTTGAAGTTGAACAAATGGTATAGATCTTGTGGATATATAAATACTTATTTAGGACAATATAAATACTCTAGATAATATGTTACCATATATTATCTTTAGGACTTAAAATCCTCCTTATTTTCACAATCATAATGGTCCAGGTTAAGATGATTGTGTTCAAGATTTTTTGAAATCAGAAGTTCTATTTTCGGTAGGGTGTGATTTGCATACGGTTGCAACCTTAAACAATCAAATTAAGGTGCATTTCAAAAAATATAATTTTAGTGTAAAACATTCTTAGGATAATTTGAAAATCTATTTTCATATCTAATTATAAAATTTTAAACTCAAAAAATACTTCAAATCAAGTAAATTAATATACATAGGAAAATCAAGTAGATTTATATACATATGAAAATCTTCAAAATGGACTACCCAGATAATATGCTGCAAGATGTATTATTTTTTAGACTCAAAATCTTTCTTTTTTTCATATTCATATATCTGGATATTGAGATAATCAATTAGAGGGTTTTGGTGCCGTTTGTGTAGAGACTAGGCTTTAAACAATCAAATTAGAGCCTACCTTCAAATAGTATCGAGAAATATGGTTATACTTTCAGCTTTATTTATAAAGTTTAAACCTTCAAAAATAGTATATATCGATAGATCTATGAAAACTTGAAAATCTTGAAAATTGATGGTCAAAAAATTTGTTATAAGATACACTATTTTCATAACTTAAAATCCATTTTTTTCTCATGTTCATCACCTTGAGGTCGAGATTATCAATTTGAGGATATTTGGGCATCAAAACATCCTCTTCTAATGAATTTTTTGAGGTAGGCTCTAATTTGATTGTTTAGAACCTCGGTTCTATATAAACTTTTCCTATATCAAAATAGCCTTTTCCAATATATTTTTAAAATGCACCTCAATTGTGCTTTCTAAGTGTTGTGGCAGGGCTTTACTTTACTTTTCATGGGGCTGCGGCCCGATCAAAACATTTTATGTTTTTTTGTTTGCCGCAGGACTTGCGTGTCTCTCTCCGCAGTTGTCGACCCGCACATTTTCGAAATTGCAGGCACCATCAATGGCCGCCACATGTTACTCTTTTTCTCGCCTGCCTTGATTATTCTTCAACGCTGTTTCCCTCTGTGCTCGAAACAAAGAGAAAATGCAAACACTGAAATGGAAGAGCGGTTTGTTGTTGAATCTCAACGTTTCCGTCGCTCAGTCGCCGCCCAAAGATGTCTCCCTCTTCCATGCCACCTCTGCTTCTCTTGCTAAATGGAAAAGCAAATGGAGCTTTGTATGTTCTTCTCCATCCTCTATCTCTCTCTTTCGTTCTTTTTCTATCTCTAATATTTGCTTTTATCCTATATCTTCTCTCTCTTGAAGATTAGGGCCAAATCAATAGCTCGCTTCCCCCAATTTTTTTGCATTCCGCAAGATTTTATATTTACATTTGATCTTGTTCTTGTAAAATCTGTGTATAATGTGGAATATTTTTATTAAAGTTGAGTTCTGTTTATGTTTGTTTTCTTGTTAGAAGCTTTCTACATTAGGATATCCAAATTTTTGTTCCAACTCTCTCTCTCTCTCTATGTTGTTCCAACTGTGAATTACAATATAATCGATAACTACAATATAATGGAGGTAAACTTTTGCGTTTCCTGTAAAGGGAAGTGACATTTTAATTTTCTGATTTTGCAGACTGAAGAGAAAAGTACACAACCATCATCCAAGGTGTGTGCAATCATAAGTTTTCTTTCCTACTTTCCTCAAATAATTATTTTTCCTATGTTCTTGTGGGATGGTTTAAAATATTAATATATCCATCATAGTTGCTAGTATATGAAGATGCTTAGTATATTTGATTAATTAGAACGAGTTGTTTGTCCTGTTAAGAACTTGTAGAAGCCAAGATTGAAGGAAGTGAATGCTGGTTGCATTGGGATTTATGTTAGAATTGTTCAATTCCACAAATAAAATGTCTATTTGAGCTAGTTTATATCAGAAAACGGACGTCAGACGTGCCCTATGTTGATCCTTTGGGATCCTATAATATTTCTTTTCCTTTTATTAATGTCATAGTCCAAAAGGAATAAAATGAAAGCTTATATTGAAGCAATGGAATCTTATATTACAGTAATATTAAGTTCGCCCTTCTCAATAGTGGGTAACTTATATCGATTGCTATTGCTGGTTGTGATGATCTGGTAAGAAGTTGGTGTATCATTTTAATATCCCCTTTAGGGCCCCTACTACCCATTCAATTTAAAGAACTGATTCCATATATTGATCAGGTCTTCATGCCCTGAAGATAACATGTAAAGAACTAGAATTATTTAAAAAATGAAATACCTCCCATGTTTGCATCCTATATACAGTGATAGCCCTGATTAATTGAATTTTGGTAGTTTGCGAGCTAAAATATATGACTTGTTGTGATCCTCGCCTTCTTCATAATATTTATCTTCAATATGATGAACGTGGGCTTGTTGTCATACGACCTCTCTATGGGAAGTGATTGGTAATGTTACAGTGAGTATTATTGAAGTCGAGGTAGCTAGAGAATTGATATGTTTATTTTTTATTTAGCATTTGCTCAAAATCTACTCTTCTAAGTTGGATCTAAATTCAAAACTTATATGCAAGAACCTTGTACTTAGGGTGGCTCCCATGCTTCAAAAGCTCGATCTTGCTTTCTCTTCTGAACCTTGTTCCTTAGTCACTTTTAATCGTTTAAAATATTGGCATTCCTCTGCTTTGGCTTTTTTCTCTTCCTCTTACTTCTCATCTGTGCAGCTATAGTCCAAACTTATCTTTTGATTAGTGATCACTTATTCATCTCGGTTCCTAATTCGGGTAGGAGGGGCGATTGGGTTCAAGTGGAAAGCTCGAAAAGGGCAAGGGGCAGAATGATGGAATATGACTCGTGTACCCGACCACAAATAGCTGGGATAAGGCTCAAATGATGGTGGTGATGATTAAAAAACAGAACAACAATAATATGCATTTTATATTTTTATCTTTTCTTGAATTTTCTAGTACGCTTGAGGAATATGTGAAATAATTGTAATTATTATCATTCATGTGATGGATAGCAAAACGCTGAGAGAAGATGTGAAGTACTCGCATTGTTAATCGAGTATCCGGCACTAGACAATATCGATATTGGCTATTATAAAAATAGCTAGGATAGGCACATTTGGTGGCATGATAAGTTAGTTCATTTGTGTGTTACCAGTGGTAGGATCAGCTTATGAGACAGTTTGCCACCATAGGATTCGTCATGTCGTAAAATTATTGGAATGAAATAGTTTCTTTCAATAGAACTTCTGAAAAAAAATGCTATTTATGGAAAAAAATGCATTTATGAAAAAAAAATGCATTTATGGAAAAGAAAATCATAATCTCAATATTCAAGTGTTCAACATCATCAAAATGAAATTATTTAATAGTGTAGAAATTTTTGCATGTTACATCTTGTTGGATTGCATACCTCGATGACCAAAGGAGTGATCTCTTGTGCTATACCTTCAACAGAATGATTTTTGAAGACTTTGAAATGCTACCTACAGCATATCTAGAAGGATTTTATATAAATTTGAAGCATTTGCAGGTTTCAGGAGTCTTGAGCACTTGATATGCCAGGTTTTTGGGGTCCTACAATTAGCTCTGATCCATGTCAATAAATTTGAAATATTCCAGAATTCTCTTACTTCTTTTGGTGGTTTTTATGGGTGCTTGTGTGCTGGGAGAGAAGAGAAGGTGGTGGTAGGGACTTCAGTCATGATAACCATAGAATGAGAAATTCCCTTGAGGAATTCAAATAATTTCAGTGCAACTGCAACCATATCAGGTTTAAATGACTGAAGGCCCTTTGAATATATGTACACACTTGTAAAGCATGTTACTCCTCACATCTCAGAGTTTGTCTTATTCTCTCTTGGTTTTTCCTTTATCAACTCAATGATTTCTGCATTGGTTCTATTCCAGTACTTCATGAGGGTTGAAGTTGATTTCACATGGAAGAATTTCATGCATTGTTTTACTCTCTGCCTATGTTCATTGACAAATAAATTATTTATTTCTTCACCATGATGATGAAATGCTCCTCATCTGATATATTTTTTATTGTTATTCCTGCTTTGAGAGTTTTATTCCTGTTTTTATTATTTTTATTCCTGTTTTTTAAACAGTTTTACATGTCATCAAGGGCAAATTAACCTCGTCTTATTTGGCTTCTCCTTGGCTGATTCCCCATTTATAGCATAGCGTTCAGGAGGTCTTTGTCCCCATTTTGTGGGTACTTTTTGTTACACTTTTATCTCAAAAGGGACTCTATAATCTAAATCAGTGAAAATAAACTCAGTTCCGAATAGGAAATACTTGCCAAGTCAACTTATCCAAAAAAATAAATAAATAAAAAACTGATTGAAAACTAAACTCTTTCAATGGGCAATTTTTATGAATGGAAAGCTTGGTATATGCTTGTGTTTTGCTCTAGTTTGGGTTCTTAGGGGATTGGCATTTTAGTACAAGGACGCAAGGATGCTCTTTGCTACTAGCTTTTTCGTCTCTGTTTCTACTTCGAACCATGATTTCATTTTTGTCAAGCTGATGGGCTTTTCTCCATCATTTTTGTTTAGTTTCTTATGAGGTGTCTATTGGGTCTGGTGCTAAGATTTGAGTGGTTATGAAGAGAATTATATGAAGGGCAAGAAAGAAGTGATTCAGTTCCTCTTGGTTACACTTTGAGCATTACGTTGAAACATGAGTAGGGTGAGAGAGAATGAGAAGATGAAGGGAATGGCGAAGAGAGCGACGAGCTTCTTGGGAGAGAATGTTTTTTGGAAAAAGATGATGATCCTTTCTTTAGAGAATCTGAGTAAATTTACGGGCTTTGCTTGAGGATGGCAACCAAGTGAGAATACGTTGCCCGTTTATTTCTTTTTCTTTTGTGCATTTTCGCCACAGTTATCCCAGCTCTCCTTTTAAATTGGGTGGTAAGGAATAGCTAGTTCACATATTCTTATCTGTAGGTGGCACCACATAAATATATATGTGTGTCTGCGTATGTGTGTGTGTGGATCCATATTTTGTGCGGGTCCTATGATCAGTAGAGTCCAATTACATTGGGTGGTGCAGATTTCACCAAAAAATAGAGATAAGGGATTTTCAGAGGCTCCGTCCAATGTAGTTGGACTGCATTGGATGGTGTGGATCTTAGGGCTACACAATAGCATGTGAAGGCGTCAACACACTAAACACTACACTTTTGCTATATATACATGAAAATTCCGCTCACCCCTATCAGTAAATGTGGGCCAATGGATGCTTCATTCTGGGCCATCCAGCTACAACTTTTCCCTAGACCTGTTAGCTGGCCGGCTCGCTCAAAAGATCCTCATCAATATATA